ACATTTCCCTAAATGTCTGATGATCCTTGGCTGCTCATTCATATTTAAAAATGAAGTATTAAAAGGCTGATTGGCATCTCTGTATATGTGACAGGGGCTATCAACTCATGGGCTTGATGGAAGGTGACTGGGGGGGAGGTTCACTTTTTAATTAGGGAAACCTACAAATGTCATACCCACAGGTCTTTTCTCTTGAGGAGGTTAAGACTCCAACAAGGAATCACTTTCGGAATGAACTTCTGAATCTTTAGTATGATGTCCACATTCCTTTTCTTTGAAATATGTCTTTATATGTTTAGTGTTTATTTTGTTTACTCTTCACTCTGCTGCAAACAAGGGTACATGGATCGCCCTTTGCCCACCCTCCATTTACTTGAGAACTTGCCAAGAAGGAAAAAAAGAGAAAGAAAGGAAGAAACCCATTCCAAGATCTGCATGTGGAGCAGGGGCAGCTTTAAGTGCACTGCTTCTAGGCTAATACCTTATCCAGCTGGACTGAGTCTCAAAGTCCTCCAAACCACCCGCCTGTCTGACTCCCCGGGCGGATGGAGAAAATAAAAAGCTATGCCACCCAGTGTGTTCTACAATGAGACCTGTGCCTGACCTTGTTCCCACTTGTAGCAGATTTTATAGCCTATCCTAAATCTCATGTGCCTACTTCCTACCTACTTGTTTTCTGGGAGTTGCAGTTTCTGAGTACAAAAGGGATTAGAAGGCAGGAATGTTTGTAGCATTCTGGTTGCTTCTTAAAAGCCGAGGTCCATGTGATAAATGGATGATTGCAAAATTTTCAGTCATTGTGATTCTACACCAGGGGCAGACATGGAGGCAGAGATAATGGCCGTTGATCATGGTTTCCAAGGTGCCCCATTAACTCTACAGTTGGTTATAATCTCCTTTGATCTGGCAGTGTGGTGCCCATTCCCGCTTTCAGTATTATTCAAACATTTGTCATCTTGTTTTTATGCATTACTTCATGGTTTGGAATCAGAGGGATGGTTGGAATCCCAGTCCTATTATTACTGTTCTTTGAACTTCCACAAATTACATAATCTTTCTGAATTCTAGTGTCTTAATCTGGAAAACAGGGATACTAATATCTGCCCGAGAGGGTGTTGGGCTGATTGGATTAGATAGTGCGAGTGGGCGACGAGCAAAGTCCAGCATTTTGTCTGCTTAGTAAATGATAGCAAATTCTTCATCTGGTCCCGTGAACCAAAAACACTTTAAACCAGAAGCTCCAAAG